AAATCTAATCAGGGGAACATTGTTCATTATAAAGATATTTAATGGGTTAAAATCAAACGTTTTATTGCACAACTGCTCTGCTGGAAGCGTATAAATGCATGTCGTTGCCAAGTTGTTGCTAACGAAAAAAGGTGAATTACAGGGTAATACGCCCGCGCGCGATCCAAAAGCGGGGAACACATAGGTTTATCGCGTCAAAGTTGCCGAGTGATCTCCTTCTCAATAATACCTCCATGCTTATAAGCGCTTATCACCAGTTGTCACTTGCTTTTAGCTCATCATTATTCATACAACTTTTCTGCTGACTCATATGCCAGCTACCCCATGCATAATCATTAGATCTTTTGTAATTGTAATTAACAGTACTGTAAGTTAACTTACTCTTTCACAAACAATATCCATATAACTTTTCACTGTGACACCGGTTGTCCGCATTTTGGGTCGCTGATAGCAACAGAATAGTATCACATGGTTCGTGCCATACCAATGTAGCAATGTATATGTACACAATGCTTGCCAACACATCGTTAATGAGGGATGCAAGATGATGCTGTGTATAAACAATAACTAAACTGAACATTTACCACCGAATTTAAGCTGTGTTAAGTAACAGTAACTTTGGCCGGCTAGGGGAATGGCTAGGCGCAAAAACGTGTGAAGTCAGTAGGTTACATTTCCAAATCGTCATTAAATGAATGACTCCTAAGCAGGGGCTTAGCCAGAAAAATGAAATAGGCCGTCCAAAATAGAGGCCACGCGATCCCCCAAACATAAGAAAAGAAATAAAATATTATGATCTTTAGAGGGCATTTAAAGATGTTTAAATGTTGGAATTTTGTCTTCAAAAGAATAGTGTTGAATTAGCTATCACAAAGATGTTTCAGTTATGTACATAGATTGCACACGGCCGGCTAAAGTATTTCTAGGCTGTGCAGATGCATTTTTATCTCTCACCTTAGACTAGTGTAAATTCTACTCTATAGGTCCTCCGAATCGAGAGACAGGCCTAGACCTACTGTATTTTGTTGACTAATCAATTGTAACTTGTGAGGTTAACAACAAATCTTCTTTACGATATTTCATGAATTAATTATAACCAGATAGTTGCGAACACCAACTGCCACCGAGCATGTTTCGTGCTGGGGTTGTCCCGAAGGTTAATACACAATCCGTTGGGGAGGAAAAAAGTTAGGCCCATATGTATTTTAAAAATATCCATAGGCTCTAAAATCAATTTAATAAGCCTTTATATAAATTCTCTTATTTTTTTTTTTTTTGGGAGGTGGGGTGGGAGGCTTTGCACCCTGGATTACTGACCACTAACGTCACTTTCATTTGATATGTTATTGATTTTACTATTGAGCATGGTCATTTTCTGATAAGTAAATACAAAACAATTTTTTCTTAAAAAAAAAACAGGGGGCGTACGCCCATTACGCCCTTCTAAATCTGCCACTACATCATCACACTTATTGGTGTAATATGCAGCATACCTCCTATTGTAGAGGGTAGAGAGTTTAACATTTTAATTGGCAGTCGTGTAGGTGAAGTGAGCAGTATAATCATGTTTCCCTGAAGCTGCTTGTCAGAAATGAGCAGTATTGATGAATGAACTTCAACTATATATCATTGTACTGAATAGATAATAATATTTTTTGCAGGGTAAACCATGGACCATGTTATAACTAGAAAAGCGGGTATCTGGAATAACGCCTTATAAAACTGCATCCAAATTCATTGACAGGAAAATACGCCTATTGCAAATATGATGTGTACACATCATTTTTTTTATTTTTTTTATTTCAATCATCTTTAAAGAGGGTAACCCTTCCAGTTTAGCCTAGTAGGTTAACTGATATTCAGGGGCCCTCTTTAATAAAATTAACATACAATCCTCATAACAAGTCTTAAAAGTATTAAATTGACCTACATAAAAACAATTCAAAATAGAAGTTTAATTTATAATGCCTAATATAATATAATGTAATATAATATAATATAATATAGAATAAAATCATGATTAAACTTATTATCGTTATGAGCATGGTGGTAATACTACTTCTATACATCCTATTACATAAGACTTACAAAAGATAGAGACTACTATTATAATAAAGCTCACAAGACAAATGAAATTAAAGACTGGGAAAAAGCAAAATCACTTAGAAATAAATTAAACAACTTAAATAGAGAACTTAAAAGAAAATTCTGTTCAACTTCAATAAAAGAAAGTATTAAAAACCCCAAAAAGCTCTGGAACACTATTCACAGACTAATCCCTAAAAATGTAGTCAGAGTAGGTAAAGTATATAAAAAAGATGGCTATACATCTTGTGATAAAGATACAGCAAATAAATTAAATGAGCACTTTACCTCAATTGGTAATAAACTTACCTCTAAAATTTCAAATAATCCCTCTAGCACTAACTCTGATTTTAAAGTTAAAATTAACAGTAAATTTGAATTTGATCTTATAACACCTGATTATATATTTGATGAAATTTGTAAACTTTCTTGCAATAAGGCTTCAGGTTTTGATGAACTTGATTGTAAATTATTGAAACTGGCGGCACCAGTGATTTGTGATTCTCTTGCATTTATATGTAATTTATCTTTGTTTTCTTCAACCTTCCCCTCAGAATGGAAAAAAGCCAAAGTAACCCCAATTTACAAAGATGGTGA